TGAAGGATTTATGTCATCAATCCTCAGGGTCAAATATAGCCCATATTGTCCCTTCAGTCTAGGGCTGATTCTATATAGATTACTAGATTAATCATTTTTCTGTGAATTTATAACGGTCAATTGAGGAATCACCACTGGGATTTCTAAGTATGCTGATTTCAGTCATCTTAATAATGGAACTGATTGACTACAGAATCCCATCAGTGGCTGGGCTGTCAACTTTTATTACCATGAGGAAAAATGAGTCAATTGAAAAAAGGTCAATTCAGTCAGACCATGAAACACTGTTAACCACTTTCCTGGAATTAGACCCTTGTCATGAGACAAGAAAATATAGATACACTAGCTACAATAACAGAGGAGTTCCATTATAATTGTCCCTCTTAAATTTAAATGGTAAAGATTCATAAGTCATTGTCTACAGATAACGCATTTTATGTCTTCAGGTCCTGAAAGCTACTTTTTACTTGCAAAATGGTTTCAGAGTAGGCATGGGGATAGGAAAAAGTCTAATTTTGCCTTCTAAATCTAGGCCAGAGGTAGCAGTATGTCTATGAGAAAACAGAAAAGTAGTCTATGAATTTTTATCTATTTTTTTGCTATTCATTAGGAAAAGAGTGAGTCATATAATTTTACTTACCTAGCTAGACAAGTTCTATCTCATCTCTGAGTCTGTTTCTTCATTTGTAAAACAGAAATAATACACCTGTAAAACAGGGTTGACTTACCTGTTCTGCCTACCTTAAAGGGCTGAGATAAGGTGAAATGAATACCTTGAAGACTGTTCTCAAGTAAAACAAATGACTTTGAAAATATTTATTTACATTACATTTGAATTTGGTTTTTGACTTTCCATATTCATTTGCACAACATGTAAGGGAAAAGAATAGTAGGGTTTCATTTTTACTATCTACTGAGTTTGTAAAAAGAACAGGTTAGAAAAATTTACCTATGTAGAACTCTTGTCAAAAATATTTACCCTGAATCTAGGAAGCAATTGGTTAAATACAGATTTGGGGATTTGCCTAAGTTTTCCAAAAATATCAAGGTGGGGGCGGGGGAAGGCAGTAAGAGAAAAGAATGTGTCCTTTAGATGGAAAAGAAACAAAGATATGGTAACCAGATACAATTTGTACTAGTTGATGGGGGTCCTGGGTCAAACAACAGATAAAAATTAGTACAGTGTGGAGACAATTTGTTCTGTATATTAGATGATGTTATTATATAGCAGTAAATTTCTTGAGTGTAACACTAATAGGGTTATGAAGGAAATATCTTTGTTTTTAGGAGAAATTTTCTAGGAAAAAAATGTTATGCTCTTTGCTACACTTTCAAATAGCTCAGAAAAAAAAAGTTATACATTCTAAAGAGAAAGCAAAAGTGGCAAAATGATTACTACAGATGTAGGTGAAGGAATACAGACATCCATTACTCTCTTCCTTCAACTCTCCTGCACATCTAACATTTTCAAAAGACTAATGTGGGGAAAAGCAAAATGAAGAATAAGCAAAATAAAATAAGAATTGGTATGTAATAAAAATATATTAATTTTCCAAAAATAGAATTATAATTTCATAAACCTAATTTTCTAAACTAAAATAAATTCACTATTTTACAATATTGAGGTATATTACTTAAGAGAAACTAATCTTTGCAATACACAAAACAAATAAATTAAGAGGACTTAATTATATAGTAAAAGTCTCACTGAAGGAATTCTTCCAGTAAAAAGTAGTGCTACTTCTAAAAGCAGTATAAAAAGACAAAATGTTACCACTGAAAACAATCGTAACAATTAATTCAAATCCTTATAGATTAGTAGACCATTATCTATGTCATCAGACCATACTACTTAATATTTTATTTGAAAGGAAAATCTAAAGACAAGTAGAACATACACTGTTAACAGACATGGTGGTCATATTTTATCATTTACTTCAATTCAACCATTCCAAAGACAAGCAAAGTAAAACAGCTAGAAACAATGAGGTACCTCTAGAGGTAGAAAACATGGCATTTTGCCCGAGAAATGCCATTCAAGTATTCTAGAGTAGGAATGCATACAATGGGGAGGGATTCTGTAATAAACTAGACTTGGATAAAAAGATACATTTAAGATCGTGCAAAAAAATAAGTAGCCTTAAAAACCATAATATACATAGATGCTGAGAAAGCATTTGACAAAGTACAACACCAATTTGTGATAAAGGCCCTTGAAATTCTCGGGATATAAGGAACATACCTCATCATCATAAAGGCCATATATGACAAGCCCACAGCCAGTATCATTCTCAATGGTAAAAAGCTGAAAGCATTTCCATTAAGATCTGGAACAAGACAAGGATGTCTATTCTCACCACTGCTTTTCAACATAATACTGGAAGTTCTAGCCAGAGCAATAAGACAAGAGAAAGACATACAAGGAATCCAGATAGGCAAGGAAGAAGTCAAACTATCACTATTTGTATATGATATGATACTATACATAGAAAACCCCAAAAACTCCACAGAAAAACTAATTAAACTAATCAATCAGTTTAGTAAAGTGGCAGGACACAAAATCAATGCACAAAAATCAGTAGCCTTCCTATACACAAACAATAAATCTGAAGAAGAAATCAAGAAAACTATTCCTCTTATTATTGAAACAAAAAAAAAAAATCAAATGCTTGGGAATAAACCTAACAAAAGAAGTAAAGGACCTATACAAAGAAAACTATAAACACTGTTAAAAGAAATAGAAGTAGACACAAAGAAATGGAAAGCTATCCCTTGCTCATGGTTCGGAAGAATTAACATTATCAAAATGGCCATCCTACCAAAAGCAATCTACAGATTCAGTGCTATTCCAATTAAAATTTCAATGTCATTCTTCAAAGAAATAGAAAAAATATTGATGAAATTCATGTGGAGCCACCAAAAACCCCAAATAGCCAAAACCCTCCTGAAAAAAAAAAGAAGGGGATGGAGGCATCACTCTCCCAGATTTCAAACTATACTACAAAGCCATAATAATCAAAACTGCATGGTATTGGAACCAGAACAGACACACGGAACAATGGAACCAAACAGAAAACACAGAAATAAACCCAGAGATTTATGGTCAAATAATCTTTGACAAAGGAACAAAGAATATGCACTGGAGCAAAGAAAGTTTTTCAATAAATGGTGCTGGGAAAACTGGGTCACTACAAGCAAAAGAATGAAACTTGACCACTACCTCACCCCATGCACAAAAACCAACTCAAAATGGATTAAAGAACTAGACGTAAGACCTGAAACCATAAAAGATATAGAAGGAAATATAGGCGAAACACTACATGACATGCACCTCAAAGACATCTTTACAGACACATCACCCAAAGCAGTGATAGTGAAGGCAAAGATAAACAGCTGGGATTACATTAAATTAAAGAGCTTCTGCACAGCAAAAGAGACAATAACCAAAACAAAGAGAAACCCCACCGACTGGGAGAACATTTTTGCCCACAACACTAATGGTAAAGGACTGATCACAAAAATCTACAAAGAGCTGACGAGACTCAACAAAAACAAAGAAAATAATCCAGCCAAAAAATGGGCAGAAGAGCTAAAAAGAAAATTCTCCAAAGAGGAAATACAAATGGCCAAGAGGCATACGAAAAAATGTTCAACATCACTTGTAATCAGGGAAATGCAAATCAAAGCTACAATAAGATACCATCTCACACCAGTGAGAATGGCACATATTAAAAAAACTAGCAACAACAAATGTTGGCGAGGATATGGAGAAAAAGGAACTCTCCTGCAATGCTGGTGGGAGTGCAAACTGGTCCAATCACTATGGAAAGCTGTGTGGAGATTCCTCAACCTACTGAAGATAGAGCTTCCATATGATGCAGCAATTCCACTCGTAGGTATTTACCCAAAGGACACAGATACATTCATTCCAAAGACCTGCACCCCTATGTTTATAGCAGCACTATTTATAATAGCTAAGCTTTGGAAACAACCCAAATGCCCAAAAACAGATGACTGGATCAAGACGATGTGGTACATACACACAATGGAATCTTACTCAGCATTCAAAAAAGATAAACACATGCAATTTGCAGCAACATGGATGGAGCTGGAAGGGATCATGCTCAGCGAAATAAACCAGAAAGAAAAAGAAAAATACCGGATGGTCTCACTCATAACAGGAATCTAGAAAACTTAAATAAGGGACCAGAAAGGGAAAAGAAAAGCTATAAGAAAGAAAAAATCAAAATCAACAAACAACTATGAACCAGTGACATACTACGGGGGAGCAGGGAAAGGAGGAATTGGGGTCGAAATAAGGGGGTTGTAATTGTAAGGGAAATATAAAAATAAAATAAAATAAATAAGTTTGCCTGAATGAAAAGTTTTCATTATAGATTTCTGGGTGAAAAATGTAACTAAACTTAATAGTCTCCTTTGTATCAAACCACTGTATGCATATATAAATACATGCACATATATATATTTGATAGATTGTCTAGGTGGTACAGTACTACTTTTTAAAAGCAGTGTTAAGTACTCATGTATTCTAACTGGACTGTTAGCATATTCTGTCCTGAACTGAATATTGGACAATTGCCTATCAATCCCACAAGAAATCACAAAGTACACCCAAAAATATCTTTCAATGGGTGCATTTGAATATTAACCAGAATGAGCATCACTGTAACATGAACGATCATTTATGTTTATATAATCTCTTAAAATTCATGAAAAATTCAAATGTCCTGTTAATGTAGAGTTACAGTCCTTGCTTTAAAATCTATTAACTGGTACAGATTTCCAATGACTAAGTTTTTTTAGGAAATATAGTACAGGATTTCCTCTATAAGTTCCATAATAAAAAGAAAAGATCAAATTATTGTTACGAACTATCCAATTTTAACAGTTCTTGCCTTTTCAAGATGGTAACAATATTGTTGAGAAAATAAACTTCATAAAATGTTACATCTTTATTTCCAAAAGAGTATTTCATTTACCTTGTTAATGGACACTACTAAAGTTGGTTCTACTTTAGCTTCAATTTCTTCTGGAGTGTAAAAACAATAGAGTTTACCCTCTCTCAAAACACAATACAACCGTCTCCAACTAATCAGTCCTTCTACCATTTGCTGTAAAAAAAAAAAAACAAAAACTCAGGAAACTATCAACCTTAAATCATTATCATCTTAAAGTCAACAAAATACTTAAATCATCAAAATGAAGTTAGGTTTTCCTTTAAATATGATAGAATTACCCCTTAATATACTGTACAGTAAGTGACTCAGTAGCCCCAAAGCAAAGAGTGAGTTAATATTAAAGAAGAAAAGCTTGAAATTCTGAAAAGCACTAAGCAAAATGGAGGTAATGATTAGCACATAACTTTTACAACCATAAAATCATAAATCAATGCAGTTTTAGAAAAGCTATTCTATTAAAAATTAGTGCTTAGAATTCCACAGCATTCATCTAATGACTCAGGAAAGTTATAAAAATAACTCTCACTGTTCAAAATATAATTTTTTTCTTACTGTTCTCAGAACACTGGAAAATGTTGACTGCCCTGTAAGAATGCAAATTTTCCTTCCTCCTAATGGAATCTTTTAGAAAAAGCTATTGATTCATTGAAGCCCATAATTAATTATTTACTGAATACAATAACTATGGTTATAAATAAATCAGGAGGAGATGGCACAGAGGCAGTTTTGGAAGCTTAGATGCCTAAACCATGCCAAAAGCTGACTGCCAGAAAGGCCTTTATGTGAAAGGTGTTGAGCTGTCCTTATCAGTTTCCACAAGGAGTCCTCTGTTGTTGACTATTCTATTACTGCTATTAATGAAGCACAGAAACCTGGAAAGATAGCTCCTTAGTCATCAAAACTGTATCTATCAGACCCTTTCTTTCCCACCTTCTCACCTCCAATTCTTCTCCCCCAAACCCCATATTTTATGTTTACCACTGAGAACTTTAAAAATACTTCTCAATATCAGAAGATCAAACAATTGTCTGTATAATCAGATCTAAATTGGAGTGATAATTTTAGGATATATGAAATCCTCCAACCTGATGATTAAGAAATCCTGCAAATGCATTCTCAGTCATACAAGCTGGCTGGGCAACTAATCGGCAGCACATGTTGCCATACAAGGGAAGCCAAAATGAAGACTCCTCTATTAAAAGGAGAGAAAAAAAGCCCAGTTACAATTACATTTGATTTTTTTCATTTTACAAATTTTTTTTTGCTTTATATAAGAACATATGTATAGGTTCATACAACTCAAACACTAGTACTCATTCAATAGTATAATTATGTTAGAGAAAATAGGAAAGAATATTAAATAGTTTCTAGCATACTACACCTGAAAAAGACATGGAAACTGTTATCTCTTGATCCCTTATTGAAGCTTAAAGTTATTAATCAATGAAGGTGTAAGTAAACACATTTAATGTAAAAATCATTCTAACAATTGATTTTTATATGTTAAATTGTATTTTTTCTGATTTGCATTACAATAATTATCAGTGATTTTCTGAATAAAATGCATCAGAGCAAAACTTTAAAATAAAAATTTAATAAACACTTTCACCCTTCTCCTTCCCCTTCACTTGTTGAACAATATAGCTATAATATAGCTATAAATCATTAAGTGGATCCCCCTAAGATAGGGAACTGTAACAAAGGCTGGGGGAAAAACTGTGGTGTGCCAGAGCTGGGTGCTGAGGCCAGGCAGGATGAGGAGAGTAAGAGAGCTGCCCACATGAGGTGGCAGTCTCTGAATGGGCTTAGGAGGGCAATCACATGGGGCACAGTCTAGAGCCTAAGGGCGATCTCTGTTCAGGGGATGGTTTAGTGTGGGGAGTGAGGACCCAAGCAGAGTAAGGAGTCTCCACATTTGGGTTGAGAGTCAGATTCTGAGAAGACCAAGGAAGTCATTTATCATGGGTTACCCAGACAGTATATCAGAGCCATAAGCTGAGAGAGAAGGGCATCCAAGTGGAGGGGCAGCTGGCACGGAGTGTCGGAAAACAGGCAGGCTGAGGAAGATGTCCACAGGGAATAAAGGTGAAGGCAGCCAGGTATGGAGAGTTAGATCCTGAGCAGGACACAGAGTGTCCACATGGGGCAAGAAGCAGTCCAGGGCGGTATATTAGAAGCCCAGCAGAGAAGGAAAGAGTCCATATAGCAGAGATAGGAGAATAGTTGCTTTGAAGATGACTGATTAAAGAAGAAAAAACATGGAAGATAAAAGGTTTCTCACTGTTAGAAAAAAGAAATAGAATGAATTCTGCAGTTCTGAATTAGGATTGAATGTGTGAACTTACAGTTTTCAACATATATAAGATTAAGAAAACCAAGACAAAATATATATGCAAATATGTATGCATGCATGATGCATGTATGTATATATGTATGTATGTAGCATTGTTTAATCAGAGGCCTGTAAGAAAAAGCAATACCAGAATGGCACTCTGAACAGCAGTGAATATATGTAGAATCACATCATGTCTTCTAAATACTATTTCAATTAAAAAGAACCAGAGTTCCTTGCAGAAACCGATGATTCCAGAGCAAGGGCAGGGAATGTGTATGATGACCCTAGAATATCTTGTTATGCCATTAAGCAAAGAAGTACTCAAAAATGATGAGGACAGATCATAAAGACACAGAAGTCTTGAATGGGCACACTGGTCAAATTTGAGACAATCTGAACTTCAAAATAAATAATGATGTTAAGAGATTATGAGGCACTGAATGTAGGAAAACAGGAGCCCACAGTGAAATAAATAAACCAATGAATAAACCAATGAATAAACTGAAAGGCACAAAATATATATTCCCTTAATAACAAAGGTGGAAACAAAGTATAGCAGAGAAGCTTCGCAGACACCACCTTAATCAAGTGATCAAAGTGAACATCATCAGTAATGGGATGAATCAAAATTATATGCCACCTGATAGAATGCAATGGGAATCCAGCACCACTTCTGTGCTATTTCTGCCAAAGATGCATATCTGACTCTTATCCCAAGAAAACATCAGTCAAACTCAAATTGAAGAAATTTCTACAAAATAATTTAGAAGTATCAAGATCATGAAAACCAAGGAAAGACCAAAGGACTGGTCAAGATTCTAAGATATTAAAACATGATAATTAATTATAATATGTGACTTTGCATAATATCCTTTGGCCACAGGGACATCACTGGGATAGTGAACAACATTGGAATGGATTATGAGGATTAGACGGTAATTATGTATTAATATTCACTTAATGACTTGGATAGTTGCAGCAATGTAGCCATGTGTCCTGTTAATAGGAATTATGGAATAACATATTTGGGAGTAATGGAGCATCATGTAAGGAACTTGTTTTATATATATTTGCGGGGATTTAAAAAAAAGACCTTTGCATTCAACTTACAACTTTTCTGTAAGTTGGTTAGTACTTAAAATTTTTTTCCAAAAAACATCGATACTCTAATGTATGATGCAGATATGTATATTGTCTTCACATTATTATGGAAGGAGGGCATTACATAATTTATTCTGTGAATGAGTATACAAATAAAAACCAAAAATATGCTCTCTGATCACACTAGATCACATAAAATGATTTTTAAAGTTTTTACTGCATCCTTGTTGGTAGTGCCTATAAAATGGCTAGTGACTGACTGTTGCTGTTATTAACCAAAAATTCTTAATAATCACAAGAAGTAAAGCATCTGTAAAACTGTATAAATACATTTTTTAATATACAGATACCATGTAGCCAAGGTTTGATACATCAATTAAAGGAAAAAGATCAGCCTACACAAAAAATACTAAGTAAAACAAACAAAAAAAAGTTTTTATCAACTTCACTCCCAGCACACTACTACAGAATAGCACACAACAAATTGTCTGGGACTATTCAAATCTTTTAAATTAATATCTTGTTAAAGTTACTGCTTTTTAGGAAAAAAGAAGGCTTAAGTTGGGAGAAATAAATGCATAAATACAATACAGGCAATGATTTAAAAGAGCAGATATAAATAAATACATGAGAATCTGCCTAAAATAGGCAGGAAATGATATAAACATTCTATAAGCATACATCTGAGTACTATATCTGAAATAACTGTGATTAAAGTTTGAAAGCAAATTTCTTTATAAAGTAATTTCAGACGTATGAATGGTTTGGGTTCTAAATATCTCTAAGTTAGTTGTTTTTAACTTAGGATGCACTCCCTAAAGAAATGGAGTCATAAATGATGATTGGTTTTTCAGACCAGTTCATGAAATTTGGTCAGTCAATAATAAACCTAGAACCTAAACAGAACATATAACAATGGGCCTCTTTGGTAAAAATCAGTTCAGATTTCATGGCATGCCATGAACATTCTTTACTGACTGTAGTTCTTGAAAGGGATATTTGATATAGAAGTTCTGGCTCCACAGCCCCCTTGCCATATACCCTGTAATCACCTGTTATTTCCAACCTGGGGCCACTGTGCATTAAAATACAGAATCACAGCTGCTTCTCTCTATCCCTGACAAGAAATATGGCATGTAGGCTGTCACTTAACCTATTTCAAAATCAATTTCTCATTTTAAAAATACTACCTATTTTTTAAGTAGAAAGGTTGTGAAAAGCAAGTAAGATAATGAATCTATGACCTCTACCATTATGTCTGACATATAATGGATACTTCTTATAATTTCATATCCAGGGCAGTCTCATGCCCCAAACCACATGCTTTCCATTTCTTAGTGCTGTCTCTCAGTCCTTGTGCAACACATTTAATCAAAATACTTAATTCTTTTTTTCTAACCAAGGGAGATATTAGAACAAGATGAAACAGGAAGTGAAAGGGCAGTCTGACTTTTCATTACTTTAAGACATTATCTAATTCATCTGTTGGTTCAAATGGGGAACAAAATGGAGTTTTTAAATGACAGCAGCAACAACAACAAAAAAAAAAACAAAACACAGGCAGGAGAAAGAATCCAGATAACATCTCAGTTCCATGTGAGTCAATCTTCACAATGTGGTTTCATTGCTTTATAAAAAGTATAAAAATTTCTTGATGACAAATATAAATCTTAATAAATCATTTTGACTTTCCCTTCAATTAGCAACAATAACTGAATTATAATTTTCAAAATGCTTGCATTTCCTTTTGATTTTACAGAATTTGCCTGACATTGATACTTTATTTAAGAAAACCTATTATGTTAATATATTTATATCAATGAAAAAATTAGAGGATAGCATTTTTCCTGTATAAAATTTTGCTTCTTTTTAATTACAAACTTTCTTTTTTCAAAATTTCAATTTATACACATGTTTAGGGAAATAATCTATCACATAAAAAGAGGCATACAGGTTAGTGTTCTTGAAATTTTTCAATTGAATCTTTAAGTTCTAATACCCACAGTTTTGAGGTGTTAGGTTTAAATACAGATATTTTCATAGTCTTTAATATGTTAATCTGTATTGTTTCTCTAAGAAAGTTATACCACACTGTTCCCAAGCTTATTTGACCATGAATATTTTGTTAAAGGAGAATATAGTAATACAGAACACTAAGGACAACTGAGGAATCACTGTTAAAAACTGACGCTCCCTTTGTGAATTTTATTCCTTTCCACAACTTTTCAGATGATTTGGTTGAAAGAATGGGGCCTTTCATCATCAATTCCACTATTCACACAATGACAGTATTTTGAGACTTTGGGTACTTTAATACTAATCATGCCTGACCAGAAAGCATAGCACAGCCTGTCCTGGATTATTTAAAGTCTGGTTCAATCACTTGCCAGCTACATAACCTAGCACGTTAGATTCTCTAAGCTGTATTTTACTCATCTGTAAAATGTAAGTGGTAATAAAATGAGGAACTTGTGAAGGTCACAGAACTAATCAGTAGTAGAACTAGAACATGAATCTAAGGCTGATGGCGCCACAGTCTCCACTATTAACCACTTTATTGAAATGTTTCCTTATAAGAACATCTCACAGAGGATAAGAATATCAACTACTTTAAAGATGTGTTTGTTTATATCTTATTATGTTAAGAACATCTTATAGGAGTTCTACCCTCTTAATAGATATTTGAGTACAACAGAGTATTATTTGTTAATTACAGGCACAATGTTGAACAACAGATCTCTAAAACTTATTCATCAACCTAAAACTTACTCATCTTGTATAACTGAAACTTTACATCTGGTGATTAGCAACTCCCCATTTCACCCTCCCACTGTCCCTGGTACCTGCTATTCTACCCTCTACTTCTAAGATTGGCTATTTTAGATACCTCATGTAAGCATAATCATGCAGTATTCGTCCTTCTGTGACTGGCTATTTCCTCTGAAATCCTTGGCTTGAATTTAGTCATTTCTAAAGGATTCTCTTCTCTTTTCATGAGGTACTGTCACTATGGCACTTTTTTATAATCTGCCATGAAGTCTTCAAGGTTCATCCATGTTGCCACACATTGTGGGATTTTTTTTCCTTTTTTAAGACTGAATATTTCATAGACAAAGGTCTGATATAACATAATAGGCACTCAACAAATGGTGGTAATATTGATAATTCTAGAGAACTGATACAAATGGAATGACAACAACCTTTATTTGCTAGATTTTCAGATTAAATTGATAATGCTAATTCTTATAGACTTCAAATTTTGGATGACAGAAGGCTAGATGATTCAAATCAGTCCTCTCACTGAGAATGATGAGTCAAATATATTTTAAAAATTGCCCCTAATTCCAAAGAGGTAACAAAGCTATTACCAGTACAAATCTGAGGGTAAATGAGAGCCAGTGAGTTAAGTGATCATGGAAAGTGGAGTCTTTTGGGCCTCCTCAGTGGCGCAGCGGTTGAGTGCTGTGTTGCAAAGCTGCCCGCAGCCTGTGCAGCGCCTGTTCGATCCCCGGCTGCTCTCCAGACCTCTCCTGCCGCCCGCTGCTCCCCTCAGCAGTATACTTCGGTCCTTCTGCCTGCTCTGCTCCCTGCTCTGGCTCTGGTGAATTCTCTCACCCTCCCGTGCTTCTGACTGTACCCAGTGCTTGTATAAATAAATAATCTTTTAAAAAAAATTGTTATTTAAAAAAAAGAAAGTGGAGTCTTTCCTGATAGCATTTGCCAATAATTCTGCAAGAAGATGGAAGCAAAACAGAAGTTAATGTTTAGGGGCTGAGCAATGTCAAGCATTGGAGGGGTTTCCTTATACTAAGTTGATACCCAAAGTAACTACCAACATGGTGATGGTGAAAAATCCTTGCTCTGCCCAGAATACACTGTGGGTATAGCAGAGATCCAGACATGGTCTTTGAAGAAATTGGACCTAAACTGACAGTTCCCCCAGTGCCTACCAGAAGCAAAACAGAAATATTAAGTATTAATTTTTTCCTAAAAACTTCCAATTATAATGACAAATGCATAAAGATCAGCAGACATGTAAACAATGAGACACTATGAGTAAGAACAAGAAGAAAAAACTCAACAGAAACTTACCTGGACTTTATTTATCTGAATTATTAGTCATAAGTTATGAAACAGCTATGCATATTCTTTTTTTTTTTTTTAAATAGAGGCATGTTTTTATTTTATTTATTTATTTGTTTGTTTGTTTTTTGTTTATACATGCACTGGGTACAGTCAGAAACGCGGGAGGGTGAGAGAATTCACCAGAGCCAGAGCAGGGAGCAGAGCAGGCAGAAGGACCGAAGTACACTGCTGAGGGGAGCAGCGGGCGGCAGGAGAGGTCTGCGCGCCATGTGGGACCCTCCTCCGGTGGGGGGGAGCAGCAGGGGATCAAACCGGCGCCGCAGAGGCCGCGGGCAGCCTTGCAACCCAGCGCTCAACCGCTGCGCCACCGGGGAGACCCTATGCATATTCTTTTAATAAAAACCTAAAATATAACATGAACAGTGTATACAAAGAAAACAGAGCAGCACAGCAAATTAGGAAAAGTCAAATAGAATTTTCAGGGCTGGGCCTCCTTGATGGTGCAAGGGGTTAAGACGCAACCTATGAAGCTATCTGCAGCCACTGCAACACAAGTTCAATCCCCAGCCAGGAAGCTACCCACATGATGCAGCAGACTTCTCCTGACTCACCCACTGCTTCTCTCAGCAGTGTATTTCAGTCGATCTGCATGTTCTGTTCCCCACTCTGTCTCTGGTGAATCCTCTCACCCCCGCACCTCTGGCCTGTACCCCAGTTCTTGTATGCATAAATAAATAAATCTTTAAAAAAAAAAGAACTTTTAGAACTGAGACATACAATACCTATAATGAAGAATTTAGTATACGGGTATAACAGAAGATAAGAGAGCCACAGAGAAAATGAGGGAAATAAAAAAAGTAATAAAATATCCAGAAAAATTGCAGACAGACAGATAAAATGATAAGTGTATAATAAATAGTAGTTGACATAAGAGAGACAGTGAGATAAGCTAACAGTATTAGCAGGATTCCCATTCAATTAACAGGAATGCTAAAAGAAGAAAAAGAGAATGGAGCTGCAACTGTTGCAATAGATGTGTGAGATCTTGTCCAGAACTAATAAAAGACATTAATCAACATTTTTTTTTAAGTTCAAGGAGTTCCACTAGAAGCATAAATAAAGTTAAATTCTATACCTATATCACAGTGAAACTTCAGAAAATGAATGATAAAGAGACAGGTTAACATCACAAAAGTGATGTTGATAAGTGATTTCCAAGAGCCAATAAAAGCAGAAGAAAGTTTGTGAATTATATCTTTACTATTTAAGGAGAAAATTATTTAAACTGCCAAACTTCTTTTTGCTTGTAAAAAGTATCCTGCATGAATGCTATCCAGAACTTTCACCTTACACCAACTGGAATGGCTATTGTCAAAAGGACATGAAACAATGGGCTAATGAGGATTTGGGGAAGGAACCCTAGTGCACTGTTAGTGGGAATACATACTGGTCAAGCCCCTGTGGTAAACACTATGGAGATTCCTCAAAAATATTAGAACTACCATATAGTTCAGCAACGTCACTTCTGGGTATTTAGTCAAAGACTAAGAAAACAGTAATTTAAAAAAATATATACATTCCTCTGATCTTTGCAACACTGATAAATATATTTGAAAGGTCCCCCATGAATCATTCCGGCCTGCACTGTATTTAAGTCAATATCAACTTCAGAGGAACATATTAAAATTAGAAATTATTACTGTAACCACATATACACTGATATATGTAACAAGTAAAATATAGAATATACCTACCATTTCCATTAATAAACAGATTATGGGTCTTGAAATTATCCTCAGCACTTTCCAAGGTAAGGGTAGTATAAGCTAGCAAATTATACTTTGCACCACTAAAAGAAAGAAAACATTTTAAATATTCAAGTATGTTTTCTATCACATAAACTAATTTTATATTCAACAGCAAAAAATAAACAACTAGGTTAAAAAATGTGCATAGATATTTTTCAAAGATATATAAGTGGCAAATAAAATTATTTAAAAATCTTCAAGATCACTAGTCATTAGAGAAATGCAATCAAAAATGAGATACCATTCCATACCCATTAGGATGGCTTCTAAAAAAAAAGACAAAAACAGAAAAGTGTTGACAGGATGTGGACAAATTAGAACCTCTGTGCATTGCTGATAGAAATTTAAAATGGTGCAGCTGCTATGGAAAGCAATATAGTAGTTCCTCAAAAAACAGATAAGACTACAATATGATCCAGTAATTCCACATCTGGGTATATACTAAAAAGAATTTAAAGCATGGACTCAGATATAGGTACACCTATGTTAATAGCAGCATTACTCAAAACAGCAAAATAGGAGAAGCCCAAGTATCCATTTAGGGATGAAAGGATAAACAAAATGAGGTATATATGTACAATAGGATATTATTCATCCTTAGAAGGGAATGAAATTCTGACACTTGCTACAACATGGATGAACCTTAAAGACATTTTTTTTTGTGTGTGGTGTCCTTGTCTACTGTTGGTATCAGGATAACGTTGACTTCATAAAATGTGTTTGCATTCCCTCTTGCTCAATTTTTTTGGGGATAGGTTTGAGAAGGATAAGTATTAGTTTGTCTTTGAAAGTTTGGTAGAACTCACTAATGAACCTGTCTGGACCTGAATTTTTGGGTTTTTTTGAGGAGATTTTCAATTATGATTTCAATTTCCTTGCATGTAAATAGTCTGTTCAGATTTCCTATTTGTACTTCATTCAGTCTTGGCAGGTGCTATACATCTAAAAATGTGTCAGTTTTCCTAGATTTTCAATTTACTGACATATAGATGTTATGGTATCTATCCAAAAAATGCAAAAACACTAATTTGAAGGGATATTATACACTCCCCTGTTCATTGCAGCACCTAACAATATCCAAGTTATGAAAGCAACCTAAGTACCCAAGGACAGAGAAATGGGTTAGGAAGATGTGGAATAAATACATTATGGAATACTATACAGCTATGAAAATGAACTCTTGCCATTTATGATGACACTGGAACATGGAAGACACTGGATGTGATTATGCAAAGCAAAATAAATCACAAGGAGAAACAAAATTCCAGATGGTATCACTTACATGTAGAATAATGAGAAACAAAACAAATGGTCAGACAAAACCAAACCAAAAACAATCCTTAGAAATCTGACTACAGAATTGAGGTTACCAGTGGGGAGCAAAAAAAAAAAAAAAGGTGGGAGAGGTTTCTATGGGTTACAGTGGAGGATTATGGATATCTTGGTATTGGATGTGGTGTGGTAACATACACGCAAAGAGATCTGATCCTATACCTCTGAATCATATACAATGATATAAACCAATGTCATCTTAATTTTTTAAAGGGACATTCTATGAAATAAGCCAGTCACAAAAGAACAGATATGGCAAATATGACATAATATGGCAGATATGACAGAATAGTCAAATTCCTAGAAATAAAGTAGAGTGGAGGTTGCCAGCAGCTAGTTGGATGGGGAAACAGAAAATTATTGCATAATGGGTAGAATTTATTTTAGGAAGATGAAAATATTCTGGAGATGGATGGTAGCGATAGTTGCACAACATTATAAATGCATTTAGTGACATTGAACCTGCAGTTAAAAATGGTTAACATGGTAAATATTGTTATATATACTACCACAATGAAAAATTAAAAACACCCCCCACACTTAAGAGGTTTATAGATGAAAGATTACAGTCAACATAAATTAGTCAATTTAGCATGTTTATGATATTTTATCTTAAGAATATTTACAAATTATTTGTCTTAACTCTGAAAGCAGCATGACTGAAACAGAGAGCAAGCTAAAAGCATGGTTCAGCATAAGGTTGGCAAAGACACTCAAATCTTTGTGAGCTTTGAAAGTGGATTTAATTCTAACTGTGATGGGAAATCATGAAAGAAAGTTAATAAAAAGAGTAATGATGCAATCTGATTCATCTTTATTTCCCAAAGGAAGTAATCAATCTCCTTCTTCTGGTATGCCAACTTCAAAGATTTAGGGATTTTATCTATAGGATGAAAATAGAAAACTTCATTACTAATTCCATTTTTGTCACTGAGGTCCCCTTTATGCTTGTGTTAAAATAGTCTCTTGCCAAAGATCTAATTTTTTTTCTTTTTTTTTTTTAAATTTTATTTTTATATTCCCCATACAATTGCAACCCCCTTATTTTGACCCCATTCCCTCCTTTCCCCGCCCCCCTCCCCATAGTGTGTCTCCAGTTCATAGTTGTATGTTGATTTTGATTTTTTCTTTCTTATAGCTATTCTTTTTCCCGGTCCCTTATTTAAGTTTTCTAGATTCCTGCTATGAGTGAGACCATCCGGTATTTTTCTTTTTCTTTCTGGTTTATTTCGTTGAGCATGATCCCTTCCAGCACCATCCATGTTGCTGCAAATTGCATGTGTTTATCTTTTTTGATTGCTGAGTAATATTCCATGGTATATATGTACCACATCTTCTTGATCCAGTCATCTATTTTTGGGCATTTGGGTTGAAGATCTAAAAATTTTGATTAAGTTCTTATCATGGTACTTTGTGGTGATAAAATGCATTTTATTCAGTAATAGTTGTATTTTCTCTGCTAATAATCTTCATTTCAAGAGTTCTCAGTTTTATTATTTTCCAAAATAGTAAAATATAAATGTTCATAATATCAAAGACTACGTTAGAAAAAAATAACAAAACAGAAATACAGACAAAATTTGAAGAGAGATGTCTGGAATTTTTATTAATTGTGCCAGGTGATATAAACTTTGTCTTTTACTAAAACTTCAATGAATTAGTAATACACACTGCATACATGCACTTCTTTAATAAATAAGGACATACTCAAAAGAATAGTTCTTGTTTTTAATATATAACCATCATAGACCAGAGCTCTCTTATTACCCCAAAATTGTTAATTTATATAGGAAAACTTAAGTTTAGTCTTAAAAGTGCAACAAATTTTTTTTAACAAAACAATACATGAGTAAAATTTAACATTATGTTCTGTATACAATTAGTTTAATATCAGCCTCATACGTAGACTTTTGTAAAAGTTCACAAAGTATTATCAAATCTCAATGCTGCCAGAGATAAGAGATACTAGCCTCATACTCAGTGGGGGCCATTCTTGGCTATTACTCACCTATGCTGTTAAGTATCTATAGTGTCTTTCATCATTAGCTCTTACTTTTGCCTATTGTTACACAAAAAAAAGTCCCACCAAAAAGTTGAGGAAGTATTAAAGAAAACGATGAAGAAAAATCAAAACAGTTGAGAACAGCAATTACAATGGAAGACCAAATACTACTACACACAAAACCACCTATTAGTTGTTTGTTGGTTAGGAAGCAACATGCTCAAGCATTACCTCAACATAATTCATCACTGATATGCAAGCTTTATGGAACAACATTATAATTTTTCTACTCAAAATACTGAGAAATAGACTCCCTGCTGGCATGGTAGAAAAGAACATGGTATGTTCAGGAATACATTATCATCAATGAATATCAATAAGTGATGCAAGAAAATGATGGTAGGTGTCTGACAAGAAAGCCAGTGTGGCTGGAATAAAGTGAGGGTCAGTGAAGGACAGAGGAGAGAGGTGTTTAAGAGGTAGAAAAGGTACAGGCCCTTCACACTGTAGTGCTTTTTAGGGCATGACAAAGACACTGGGTTTTATTCTGAGTGAGATGGAAAGCAAATTTTTGACAGAGACATGTTGCTGTGATATTATTTCTACTGTCAAATAATCCCTCTGGCTATCATGTGCAGAACAGACCAGAGGGATCATGAGTGAATAACGGAGATACCAACCAGAAAGCAACTACAATTGACTGGTCAAGAGCAGATGCAGGCATAGAATAGGGTGGAAGCTGCTGGGATAGTGAGAAGTGGTAAGATTTTTGATACAGTCTTAAAATTGAATCAGTGTAGGCAGGGCTGTGAAAGAGTAAGACAAGGACACTTCCAAGGTTTTGGGCCTGAACAACTGGAAGAATGGATTTTTTTTTAAAAAGATTTATTTATTTATGCATACAAGAGCTGGAGTACAAGCCAGAGGAGGGGCGTGTGTGAGAGGATTCACCAGAGACAGAGTGGGGAACAGAACAGGCAGATCTATTGAAATACACTGCTGAGGGGAATAGCGGGAGGGTGAGACAGGAGAGGTCTGCTGCGCCATGTGGGTTGCTCCCTGGCTGGCCGGGGATCACTTCATGCTACAGAGGCTGCAGACAGCTTCACAGGTTGCGTCTTAACCCCTTGCGTCATCAGGGAGTTTCAGAATGGAATTGTTATTAATGAAATTAGGTTGACTGAGAGAAGCATGCATATGGGAAACAGATTATTTTTGGACAAGTTAACTTTAAGATTGTTTTTGATATCCAGATGGGTTGTAGGGCAGAGAGCTGGATATATGACTCTGGAGTTAAGAGAGGATGGATACTGGAGAATTGAATTTGGAAGTTACCAGTATATAACTACTGTTCAAAGAATGTCAGAATATCAAACACTGATATGTAAGCACTCTATCACTTCAGATTACCTTGAAAAGCAATGAACAAAGGAGGTAGGCAAGGAATAGTCACTGAGGCAGAAGCAAAACCTAACAGGTACATTTCAAAAAGTGTTTCAAGGAGAATGATCATTTTGTTAAACAATATGGAAAGGTCCAGGAAGAACAGTAACATGTGATATGTAGGCTTTGGCAATATGTAGATCACTGTTGTCCTTGACAAGAGCCATTTCTGTAGGGTGGGACAGAGATAACATGACGAAAACTGACTGAAATGATACAAAAGACAATGAGGAGAGGAAGTAGAGACACAAATTTTTTCTAAAG